CCTGTTCTCCCACCTTTCCCGCTTTTTTTTTTTCTCCACTGCATTTGTTTCCTCTATGTTTATTCGTTTGTTTTTAAATTATTTTAATTTATTTTATTTTAATTTATTTTAATATAATTTAATTTAATTTAATTTTAGCTCGGCTCTGCCACAGCCCACTGAGCACAGGGTGTTCAGATACAGTCTCCCTAGGAAGCACATCCATGGCCAATATATCTTATAGCAGCAGCCTGACCTGGTGTTAAGCCAAGTATAGGAGGAAAATAAAAGAAAACTCTTTTTTGTTTTGGTAACCAAATTCTGATGTTCTCCTTTTTTTAATTGGAGCTCCTCAGGCAGGTGTGAGCCCCAGGCTGGATCTGCTGAGAGGGGACCCATGTCCATCTGATTTTGTTCCTTTGAGCACCTGAAACTGATCAGGTCGACACATATGCAAGCCTATATCTTGTATGGATCATCAAATTAGAGAACATATCCTATAAATGAAGCTTCCAGTTGAGTTTTTTTTGCTATCAATTCCCCCTTTTTTTCTCCCAGTGAATTCCTTTGCAGATGCTCACAAAACTGCTAGGGTCTCTCCCCATCAACTATTCACTTAGGATGGGCTCATGTCACTTAGTTTTAGGAGACAGCTGTTTCTGCAGGGAAAACTGGGAGATCTCCCTGGGATGCAGGGCACGGACACCCAGATGGACAGGATTTATTCGTGCCATTTGCATATCGCTGCCACCCACCAGGGACATGGGTGTTCTCAGGGAGCATCCCCCGAGTCCCAGGGTGCAGGGCAGCCATGTGGTTCCTCATGGTGTGGCCCCAGAGATTAAAAAGCAGTTTGCTTTTTTACCTACAGCTCTCCCAACACCTATGAAATCCCGGAATGGTCTCTGGGGATTGTAGCTGCTTCTGCAGCACTGCAAGGCGGGATCAGCATTCCCACCTGACGCCACTGGCATTAAAGTTGCTCCAGAGCCCTTTGCAGTAAGGATTAAGGATCCCTCCTCTGCACCCCTCTCCTCCCGTGGAGCAGTCCAGGGCCACGGAGGTCTCTCTTCCTCCGGCAGCCTCGTTTTCCCCTCTCACCTACCTGTGCACGGTCTCACGCTCCTCTTCCGAGCTCTCCATAAGGAAAACTTCTCTCTCTGAGTGAATTTGGAGCTGGGAGTTCCTGAGACGGAATATCTGTGTTGGAGTGTGCAGGACTGACCCTGCATATGGGAATCATCTGCAGCGTGGGTGGGAGATTGGCTGGACATTTCCAAGCACTCCAGGCTTGTGGTGCCCATGCCAAAAACCCCAGGTGCGGGTGGGAAGCGCCGGGGGGTCAGTAGTCCTAGATACCCAGCCGGTGTCCTCGCTGCATCTCCGCTTGGGCTGCTGGATATGGAGAGACTGGGGGCGAGTGGCCGGTGGCCTCCAGACTCACCTGGACAACGCGTGTCCCTAAGAGCTGCTGCCTGTTTGTCCCAATGGAGCTCTCGGTCGCTGCCCGGACCCGCTGCAGAAGGGTGTCCCCATGCATAGGAGCGATGGGATCGACCCAGGAGATGGTGAGTCAGCCGGGGAAGCCGATTCCCGATTCAAAAAAGCAAGATCAAAGACAATGAGAAATGTTCCCAAAAATGGAAATGTTGAAGGCAGCGAGCTGTATCCTCCACTGCTTCAAGTGTGCACAGCTCGCTGGGCTTGCACGCTGTCCATGCTGCGGCGGGGTGCTTCCCAGGAAAGGAAACTGCCATCCGAGGAAGGCGACACTGTGCCAAGAACCAGTAATGAGCTCAGGTCCCCAAGGACTGAGGGACCAGGGGAAGACCAGGGCAAAGCAGAACCGTCCCTATGGCCCAGACATGGCCAAATCCTGCCCTTCTCCAGCTGCTCTGCAGGGGCACTGAGCAGAGGTGCAGGGAGGAGGCAAAAGGGAGATCCCCTCTGGGACAGGCTGTTCCTGCAGCCAGTCATGGAGTATCCACCCTCTTCCCATCTCCAGGCGTTGGTGACCCTTGAGCAGCTGGTGCAGTGTGGACATCCCGCAGCCTTGTCCTGGCAGGAGCCCATGACCCCTCTTTCATGTCCCATGGGGAATGGGCGGTCAAGGGGGGACATCTGCCACACCAGAGCAGGGCGCGGGGGGCTGGTGTCCACCTCGCCGTTGGCCAAGCAAGGTCTGAATGTTCAAACCCTCGTGGCTCGGACCTCTTGTATGGGGACATGACGAGAGCATCCGGCAGCTCTTGCCCCCTTGGACTAAAATTAGGCCAACTTGGGAAATGGGAAATGACTAATCGCTTCTGATCACGTCCCGCGGTCTCTCCCAAGACCATGCACGGCTCCTCGCTGGGCAAGGGCCTCGAGAGCACGCAGGGAGCACATGCATCTCCTGCAGAGCCTATGAGCAGGAGCCCCGCGTGCTGCAGATCCTGTGATGGGGACATGCAACGAGTAGCCCCTCTGCGCCATGCTGGCCAGGCGCTCATGGCCCTGGGGCTCTGCAGTGACGTTCTGTGGGATTTGTGACCTCAGGGAAAGCCACTGGGATGTTCCCGTGCGAGCAGTGCTGGGTGCAGGGTTGGCTGACTCGGTGGCGCGGAGCCACCCAGGAGGAGCAGGGAGGGATCAGAGAGATCAGCCTGGGATGAGCAGGGAGGGCTCGGGTGGGAAATGTGTCCCGGGGTGCAGGGTGACAGTGGAGCGACTTTAAACAATGCTGGATTCTCTGATGGCTCCTAAGGATTGAGTTCCAACTCCAGCTTGTGCCCAGGCGGGGAGGGCAGGAGCAAGGCAGGGTCTCTGTCCCCATGCTGGGCCATGCGGTTTTACAGACCAGGCTTAGTGACACTGCTGTCAGGTTGAGCTGAAATTATCCAGCAGCTCCAGTTCCTGAAGGACTCCTCACACCCAACACAGGCAGATGCCTTGGCTGCCCAGCACCCTCTCTTTCTCTTAGGGGAAGAGGCCAAACCCGTGTGCTGCTCTGGGGAGCTCGGCTGTGCTCCCGAATCATTCCAGCCCCCTTCCCCACCAGGACACTTCCCTGCCCAGCCTGGGAAAATGGGGAGGGTGGTAATTGCTGCCCTTGCTGTTAAATAAACCTAACTCCAAGAGGGACCGGCTTCCTAGCAGCCGGGAGACAACAGGTCTCATGGCCTTACTGCGATGACCAGCACCACAACCAGCAGGACGAGCCATGCAAAGCAGCAAACGCGTCGCATCCCGCATTTGGCATCCTTTACCTTCTTTGAGCAGAGGGTGTTTTAAGTGCAAATGGTTGTGGGGGCTTCAGGGCCTTGGAAAGTGGCCAGGAACAGGGTCCTCACCAGCCCCACGCTGCGACGTTGCCTCCTCCCCCGGCTTCACTGTGGCTGCTCCAGCCCCAGACACCACAGATAAATGTTTCTTTTTTGTTTGCAGTGCCCAAGCCATGAGAGAAGCCTGAACCCCTCAGACATGCGTTCCAGAGGCACATGGGAATGATCAGATCCAATGCTCCTGTGCTACTCCTTTTTCCCAAGTTTTCACGTGAATGTCCTTCAAAAGCTGCTCGCCTCTGGCATGCTGTTCTGAGCCCTGGTGGGAATAGTCCCCTGGGACACACGGGCTTTGGGAGGACATGGGACATTGTCATGTGCTGTGGCCACTGCTCCCCGACATGGGGTGAGGGGCAACTGGCTGCCCGGCCCCACATTTCCCAGCAGGGATCACTGTCGGGAAATGCCAGGACTGTGCCGCTGATTTATTCCTCCCTCCGGCCTCTGGGCTTTGACACTATTCTCCTTGTTATCTGGCATTCCTCGGGCATGTATACGTTTTTGGACAGATGTAGCAAGACCCTGGCTCCAGGCCAGGCCAGCGGGACACACTCCAGCAAGAGAGCCGGAGCTTGGGGCTGCTCCCAGGCAGGATTTCGAGGAGCTGGCAGCCCTGTTCCTCCTCCGTGCGCGTCCTCCACAAGCCCCGAAGCAAAGCTCCTCACTGGGGACCCCCACTGCAGGAGGTCTTCAGCCTCCCTGCTTGGAGGACATGTCCGAAAGGGGATAAGCGGATGCGCTCCGGTCTCCACGCGGTCATCCCCGCTCGCTGACAGCTCGCTGGCCCAAACGCCCGACATTTTTCCCTGCCACATTTCCCCCTTCCCCCAGCCCCCTGCGGATAAGGAGTCAAGTTTCTGTGTGCTCTCCGGAGAGCGGGATGCAGCCGGAGCAAGAGCGGCCAGGGCCTCTCGCCCACGCCTCCGACCCCGTCGCCCCGGCCTTGCGCTGGCCGCGCTCCCGGCTCCGGGGGAGGCGCAAGCCCCGGGCATTGCAGGGGGGAAAGCCATGGAGGGGCTCAAGGCGGGGGGCCTTCCTCTTCCTTCTCCTCCTCCTCTTGCTCCTTTTCATTCCTCCGCGGGCAGGGGGTGCCCCGACGGGGTCCCCCAGGCCCCCGCATCCCCCCCGCCTTCCCCTCCAACCGGGATGCCACCGTGGTACCCAG